CTGAAGGTCTGTTTCCTCTTCCTTTTTGACTAAAAATTGGTAAAAAAAAAAAAAAAAAATTGGCAAGCAACTAAAAACAAACACAAACCAGACACAACCCCTCCGTTAAAATTAAAAGTTTAATAAGAATGCCAAGAACGTCAGTAAAGATGAGGTTTAGACCTTGTTAGACTCAAAAACGAAACTAACTAAAGTCACTTTCACATTTCAGATAAAGCAAGAAGTGCAAAATCATAAAATATCAGTAGGTTTGGGAAAAGCACAGTCCATCTGTGGCAAAATGTATAAATTTTCAGAGTGCTACACCTTGAGGCACAGTATTAAACTGCTGGATAAACGAGGGATTCTGACAGAAGGCAGAGTCTCTTTCAAGTATGGTGTGAAGTCTTTGGTTGAGAGGTCCAGAAATCCACGTGTGAGTGGAGCAGGAGCTTGCAAATGCTGAGGTTTAGAATCACACAACTCTCTGATCGGGACAAACTATTCTGCTTAAGGAGTAGCATACCATCCACAAGCCATTTTATCCACAGTGTCTTCAGCCTCACTCAGTCCCTCTTATATTCAGTATGCTGGTCTAAAACAATCTCCAGGGTACCTAAAGATTAGCTGTATTTCATGCATCTCTTTTGAAAATGCTTATAACTTATGAAAAGGAAAACAGTATGGTGCGTAATATAAAGAACACAGCATCAAAAATTAGTCAATACGTGATTATACAATAGTCCACATTTCCTTTTTACTCATATTAGATCTTTATTCAGTAGCTATTATTTCTAGCTCAGTAAGCGTTTGGGAATCTGCCTGGGTACCTGGGCAAGAAGTCTGTGGGAAGATGCTGGAAGCTTTCGTTCTGTATTATGTTTTAGCTGCTAAGGCATCATTCTAAATTTGTTTAAAATGGTTACTTTAAATGATAAAAAAAAAAGTCCAGTATGTTTTAAAACGATGTCTTAAACAGGTATGGCAAATTATACTGGTTTAAAACTATCCTAAAGTGACAGTAATAAATGCATACATGGGCTCTTCCCTGAAGTGCCTTCCCTAGCTCACTCCCCAGAGGCCTGGACATCTACCAAGAATAAGGCATGGTGAGGAAGAGGCAGCAGTGTGGAGCCTGGCCCCAAGAAGTCCACTGGGATGAAAAGGGACACAGGTAACTGAGGACACAGGTACCCTGTGGGGTCAATACTGAGAAGGCTCAGAAAGTGCTTTCCGGTCACAAGGCCAAATGTTTCACAGACCCAGTGATGGCGTTTTATAATTGTGGGGCTTAACATTGCAAAGCCTCGGCCCCTCTAGTGTGTGGATTACATATACACACAAAGAAAACATCCATATAGGGTCGCTGAGTATCAGCACGGCTCCTTCCACAGGTCTTCAGAGACCGTGGGAAGGGCCAGCCTTGGGCACACCGGGCTCCCGCGGTTGATGTGAAGGATGCTTTGACACTGTTCAGCCTTAGCCCTAGGAGCAGAAGGTCCACAGTATTTCTCCATGATGGTCAATTCTTTCCCACATTTCCATGTGGCCCCTGGAAGGGCCACTAGAGGCCCTCTTATCAAGAAATGGCTTCTTGTCTTGGAGAATATTCGCAGTAGTTCCAGGGATATGTGGTGGCATGGGATGAAGGTTAGCAGCAGCTGCTGTCAGCTACAATGAAGCATGAGGAAGTCCTTGGCTCTCCTCCGTGGTCCCCAGTGGTGAAGGTCAATGGGCTTCTCTGGCTTTGTTTTTCCTACAGGGAAACATGCTATTTTAAAACTATCCTAAAGTGACAGTAATAAACACATACATGGGCTCTTCCCTGAAGTGCCTTACCTAGCTCACTCCCCAGAGGCCTGGACATCTACCAAGAATAAGGCATGGTTGATATTGTCATCAGTGAAGACCCATGGCATCATTGTTTGGGGATCTTGCAAGTATTACTTCTGAGTCCATTACCTTTTCATGCTTTGAAAGGTACTTCTCTGTTCTCTTACTATGTGTTACACACACACACACACACACACACACACACACACACACACACACTTTTT